CGCGCCCCGCCCCGCGAAACGACCCTAGCAACGGACGCAAAGCGCTGATTGGGCGCCAGAGGGCGGCGCTCGCAGCCTCGCCAATCGGACGAGCAGCGCCGGGCCAGGGGGCGGGGCCAAGGCCAAAGCCCGCCCCTCCACGGTGGCTCCCGCGGGGAGGTGCGGGGCGCGTGGTAACGGTCGGGGCTGGATCCGGGTGTTAGCGGGAAATGGCAGCCTCCTGTTTTCCTGTGTTTCTCAGCAAGCAGGTACCCAATGCCCCGCGTGGCTTGGGGTGGGTCGCCGTGCCGTCCCTGAATCAGGTTGCCGCGCCGTTTGAACTGCAACACCCAAGGTGTTTTCCTGCTGCAAATCGTTTTCAGAGAGCACCTCAAAGCAGCTCTGCATGTTCTTTCTTTTAAGATTATCTAGTTAAAATGGTCCAAATTCTCTTCTGCTCATTAACCATGGACATGGTCTACATAAAAGCCGCACGGGCACAATGCCAGCGGCTACACTAATAATTCACCACATGCATTTTCTGCAGGGTGGATGATATGTGCCTTTCCTCACTTCTGCTCCTTCCTCTGCTATAACTCAAGTGCTAAAGGGAAGCTGATGTGAATCCAGCACTTACTTAGGCAAGCTAGGAGGCAGATAAAGGAACGTTTTGCTCTATCGCTTTGAAGTAGCAGAGTTAGAGGGGGGAAGGAGGCCGGCACGCACAGTCCGCACACAGCACCTCACCACAAGCATCAGACCCAAAGGGTTTTGCCTCACCTTACCCTGAAAAAGCATGAGGGCTCCAACTGTTCACTTTTTAAAAGTCAAAGGTGAGCGGTTGCAAAAATGGTTGGCACAGCTCAGGGGAGCTGATGACCTGCGAATTACAAAAGACCCGCCAAAAAATCCACTTTTTTTTTAACATGTCAGGAAACTTAGTAAGGAGAGGGAAGAAGAGCCTTTGTGTCTGATGATGGCTAAAGATGCTAATAGGTAACTTTTTCTCTTGAACTTGAACAATAGTTACCCATCTGCAGATTACTGAAGAATAAGCAGGAGTGTCCTGTTGCCAGCACTATGAGTAAAATCCAGTCATTGGAAGGAAGTGCCTTGGAAAGACTACTTGAATCTGTGTTATAGGAATGCTGATTAAACTTAATTGATGTTAAAAAGGAAAAGAAAATAAGGAAAAGATTACCTTATCAAAGAGTTAGACTTCCCTTGCCAAATGTCTCTAGAGAACAGAGAACAGTCCTACATGGCTTCTTTGATCCTTGAAGGAGTAATTGAGCAAGGTCAAGGGACACAATATCAGATCTTTGAAATAATCTGATTCAAGCAAAGAAAGAGAAGCCTCAGAATTTATACCAACATCATAAAGGTGCCAAAAGGTCTTGAGCTCATTAGTTTATCTTACCTTGAGTTATTTCACAATTTTCACATTGAAGTAATGTGGAAATGTTACATGACCACGTTCTGGAAATAATAGAATTCAAATGGAAGAGATCAACTAATTCAGGGAAAATGCCAAATTTATCACCTGTAATATACTATTTCACAGCCCAGGATTCAGGCACAAACTTTAAATTTTTTCATTCCATTGGGCATTATAGCCACATTTAATATTTCTAGCAAAAGTAATAGAAGCACAAAGTGGTTATTATTCTTATATTGCTTTCTTCATATTCATTCTGCCTCTCCAATTGTCTTTCACTCAGTAAATATTTCCCTATTTTCTTCCATTTCTCTAGTTTTGAACCTTGTTATCTGTTTGGAAAAACTGCCTGGAATGTAGCAAATACTATTCTTTGCTTAATAAAGTGCAGGCCTATGCACAAAACCTCATCTGTGAAAAAAAATCCAGAGTAAAAACACTCATAGATACACTTTTTGGGGTGGTCATCTTTAAAGATGATCATTTCACAGCTTCAGTTTGGAACATCAGACTAGAAGGATCACTTCTGACAGAGCAGTAACTTTGTCATTGGCAGGCTGGATCAGGCAGTAGAGGAGACAAATCCTTTAAATCAGTTGTATCCTGAACCGTAGCAGAGAACATTGCCCTTATTTTCACTTGATTGGATATAGAGGTGTCCATAAAAGTTTGTATCAATTTAGGTACAATTTTTAAAACATATTTTAATTGTGATTTGGTTTGGAAACAAAGACCCAGTACTGCACTAAAAGAATCCTAATTCCTCTTTAGCAGTTTGGCTAGGATCTGTTCCTCTTCTGCAAACTGCTGTATTTAAATACCTGTTGCTGCCATCATTATGTCTCATTATGGGACAATATTAGATAATGGGCTCCTCTCCCTTATTTTCCTCATCTTATCCTGGCAATTTTTTTTTATTAGTCACCTGATCACTGCTAAAGTTCCCTTTAATGTAAATGTAAACTAACATAAAGGAACAGTCATCTTTTGTTTCGATGACAAAATGCTTTATACCTAGTGCAAGGATATGAAGAATACATACATATTCTTTTCCTTTTATGACTATATCATATGACCACATTAAAGATCATTTTCCTTCTCCAGAAATCCACAGTATTTTGCAACACAGTCACCTGCATAAGTCACATTGCATAAGTCACATATTCACCTTATCAGTATCAAATGCATGAATAATAAATCCACACAGCAAACTTAAGAATTCACAGTGAAGAGCAGAACCTTATATAAATCTTCACCCCCTCTAAATTTCTGAGTCATTTTCCAATGACTCTCCAGACTGTTCTCTGGTCTGACTATTGTCCCAAGTTTTTGGAAGAAAATCAATTATTTTCTTCCAGTTAATAGACAGGACTAATTTCTTTAAACTACCTTGTTCCTATCAAATCATGGACAAATTAAAAACAGATGCAGAATCAGAATACTTTCACCAATTTTCCCCTGCTATACACATTGGAAAATAGGTACCTGAGATACTGCTCCTACCTGCCAGCATTCTGTACTGTTCACATGCAGATCAAAAATGTTTGTGCACAAAATCATCTATTATATCATAAATAGCTCTCAACCATATAGACATCTCTAAAAAGAGTTAATGTGATTATAAAATGATTTAAAAATATTAATATATTTGGTAGCAATTCTGTAAAAAGAACCTCTCGTGATAACTAAGATAATTAAACTAACTTGAACAAACTGCCAGTTGTGCTTCACTGTGATGCTAAAATCTGAATTCAGAGAAACTGATTTCAACCATGAATGCTGACCTATTTGTTTTAGTTCAAGAAAAGCAAATGCTTTTAGAATATGCTGAAGTGAAATAGACTGCATACTGGTAAAAAAAAAAAAAAGTCTATTTTCATATCAGCTTTGGGGAGTTAGAAACAGATGGAGTCCAAACAATGATGAATAATAAGATAAATTCTTTTGCATTTCATCTTGCAAATTGCTTTATTTAATGGGCTCAAATGAATGCTCAAAGTGATAGATTTGGGTTTTAATTCTCTCTAAAGGTCTCTTCACTAAATAATAAAGTATTCTGTGAGAAACAGACTAATAAAGATTTTATTAGTTCTGTCTGCTCTATGAAATCATCAATCTTCACAAAGTATGTAGGAATTTCCAATCTATGAGACCTCTCCCACTCAGATTAGGTTGAAAGTAAAGGCACTAAAATTATTGGAAAAAGGGACTAACAGAGACACTGTCAGACAAAGCAATGGTAAATGCCTTTTTTTCTCTTTTTTTCTTTTTTTTTTCTTTTTCTCTTATTTTTTAAGAAAAGGTATAGAAATCAGTAGATTAAAAAAAATGTAATAAATATATACACTCTCTAATATTTAGCATATATTTTAGGGCTCAGAGAGCTATGCGCTGAACTATTATCAACTATTTACAGGGCAGAAGCAGAATCATTTTATCTGTGCAATCTTTAGCTAAATAACTTGACTGGGAGGCAACTACTACTGTAACATGAGAGTACTTATTTTGAGACCTAGGCTAGTATCCCCACAGGGTACTCAGCTGAACATCTGAGAGTCTAGGAGCAGTTAGCCCAAATATTTCAGTGCCATTCTCTATAGCAAAGTAGAAAGATTTTTTCTTTTCCTGGAGTTAGCCTGAATGGAAATGCTTTCTGCATCTGCCATTTTTTAGTTACAATGTCTGTAAACAGCCTTGTTCATGAAAAATTTAATAGCTGTAAAAGTATCTATAGCTAATCATGGACTTCACGTATTAGGGGGGAAAATGATGAGTAGAGAGAGAAATCAGTGAAAAGCACTGAGAAAAATAATGAAAACTTATGTTTCTGAGCTAAACAGATCAATTCTGATCATAGCATATCTGTGGAAAAGCTACACATATGTGGGCTATAGACTAATTCAGCTAAAACAGGGCTTCTTTAAAAGTTGTCTGTGGCTCTTAAAGACCAGCATAAAATAGTGGGGTTTAGCATGTAGAACCAGGCCAGAAGCCTTCTCAGGCTCATAACAGGATGTCAGCAGATCTCGGCACCAGTAAGCAAATACCACATTTCTGCTGCAGACAATTAAGATGTGATTTCCTAAGGTTACTGAAGGTGGGGCTCATCTGACCGCACTTCACCACATCTAGTCTAAGCACTGTATTTATAGGAAAGAGATAAGTACCTCCAGAGGATGGTCACCTCCCTCCCCATTACGTAGGTAATACCCCACCTATTTTTTTCTGACTTTTTGTATGTGTTGGAAAGAATGAGCTCCCACCAAGATGACAACATCTATTACCCTCTATAACAGCTAGTACATCAGTATCTTGCCAAGCTTCCTTGAAAATTTGGTGGTGGAAAGGCAAGCTAAGCGGCACAGGCCAAGTGAATCATGGAAAACATTAGCAACGCTTTGCCTAGTCAGGAAAAATGCCCATGCTTTCTTCCTCAGGCTCGTGTTTGTGTGGAAATGCTGGCAGCCCAGCTGCAAGTGGTGCAGCAGTTTTATGACAGTGCAGCAGGTGGTGCTCCAGCCATCCCCATGCACCCCAAGAAACACGGGTCCAGGTTTGGCTTCTCTGGAGCTCCGTGCTGTCACAACCGCAGTTGTTCCTGCTGGTGATTCATGCTCCAAGCATCAGGTGAGAGAACCACAAGGAAAGAGCACTTGTGCTTAATCGTGTTACAGGTCATATGTTCCTAAAACTCTAGGTGCATTTACAGTGAAAACTGAAACACAGTAAATTGACAGCATCTCCTAAACAATTCTTTGTTCCACCCAAACTGGGAACTGTTTTCCTGGAAAAGCTGCAGGCAGATTTTTATACTTTGGAGAAAAGTTGGGCTTTGGTTAGCAATGTTTGGGCACTACATGGCAGCTCCTGCAAGGCAGCAAGTTCCCGTTTGGGTAACAGCAAATCCCATGTGGGTATGCAAGATTCCCAAAACATTACAGCTGCTTTGCTATACTTGAATGTGCTTGGGTCTCTGACATCCAGCTCCTGATGAAAGGCAACGTATAACAATTATTTGCAACAGCACAGAGGTTTCCCAGGAAATACAGTATCAGAAATGAAGTATATCAGGAACCAGGGCAGGAGGGGAAGTAAAGGGGACGGTGGAGGAGGAGGAACAGCAAAGGCAAAGGTTTCTGTTCCTGCTGGTCCTGCAGCCTGGCAGCGCCGCAGATGGCAAAGTTGTCACACGTGCACCAGAATGTCCCTTAGTGTTCACCGAACTGACATACCTGTGGAGGCTGCAAACAAACTTCCTGTGCCAAGCCATTCATTTTCTGCACACCAGTGGAAACCAAGCTGCTGGAAAGTTAGAAACTTAATCACTTGCTCAGCTGAAGAAGCCACAGTATTAATGTGT